AGTGGTATGGTTGCTATTTAGCTGCGAGAAGAAGAAGGGGACGGTGTTACATGGACTGAAGAAAAGTGGTGGCGCGCAATGCAAGTGGTTACATCAGAGTAATGAGAACCTAAAAGATGAAAAACTACTTTTACGGCAAAGAATTCGCAGGGTGCAACGATTCGGGGGACCGCGGGGTACAAAATGAGTGATTCGTGTGGTACCAAATTCGATTTTTTTTTCTGGTGTTCAGTAGCAATGGAAACACAGGGATTGAAATTTTTAAACTTTTTGAAAAGTAGGTATATCTATTTAGGATTTTTTGAACAAGTTATAGAAGAACACTTTTAGGCAAATAATTCGGAAAGTGCAAAAAAATAAAGTGTGCGAATGTCAACATTTCTGAGGTGCAACGGTACAAAGCTGCAACAACTTTGGGAATCAAAATTCAATTGAAAAATTACTTATATAAAAATTGTATTCAATAAAAGATTTATTTATGAGCAATGTGGTTTGGATGACGATGAATAACTCTGAGAAACTACCAGCAGTCGGTATAGAACAAAATGGAAAAAACAACGTTATAACAGCATGCGATATTGCAGCTCATATTAAAGAACGTGTAGAAACTCTATTAGTAGCGTGTCGTTAATTGAACATGATGAACAACGTCCTGAGAATGTCGGGGTAGGATTTCCGGAATTCTAGAGAGATGCTCACTGAACTTGTAGCACACCCATATGTATACTCCAAGCACTGAAAACAGAAAATAAAAAAGGATAGTTTGTTGAAAACCTTACGGTTCAATACGATGAATGCTGTTATGATGTCAGAGACAGCTTTTCCTTCAAGCGATTCTAAAAAAAGAACATGTTCTGAATAGGATGGTACGGTGCTTTACTGAAAAAAGAGAGAAAAGCATTGCATGCAATATGAAGATCGGCCAGGCCAGGAAAGATGTCATGAACAAAATGTGGACCGTCATGATAATTTTCTGTTCGATGAGGAATCCGATGAACACAATGGCGAAGGCGATGAGCTGAAATTCAAATCTCAAATTCGCTTATATCAAAGTAGGAAAGCAATTGTTACTACGATGAGTCGAGGAATGAGCTGGGCCGCTGGGTGTGCTGTTGAAAGTCGAAGTGAGCAAGTGCCCAGATTTGGAGTACAGCTCGGCTACAGCTTAAATCTTGTATAAATTATCTAAAAAATTAGGAACAAGAAAAGTAAAAATGGGTTGTGAAGAACTCCATAAATTGATTTGAACTATGACATTAACCGCTTTTTATTGGCTTAATTGATAGAGTATTGAGAAGATCAACAGCGGTAAATAACAAAACAATGGAAACAGCAAAGAATAACAGCGGGTAACAAAAATGTTTGATCAGATATTGGGGTAGATGAGCTTCTTACTATCTTGGTAGGATCCATGCATCTTGGAACTGTATGGAAGGGTTCCTGGATGACCATATTTGATATCGTCAAGCAAAATGTAGCACAGCGCGATGTACACTAGGTTTCCTTAAAATTGAACATCTACTCATCAAGTCCTAAAAAGTCCGACTCACCTAGAGAGATAAGGAAAAAGATGAACACGACAGTGGCCAACTTGAGATACATAGATCCATCCATATTGGTACCGGTGTCTCCTCCCGTATTGATAATCATATCTCCTTCTTCAAGCGATTCTGAAAAAGAATGCATTCGGAATGAAACTTTACGGTTCCTTACGGAAAAGCATGAAAACTACAGCATGCAATGCGAAGATCGGCCAGGCCATGAGAGAGGCCATGAACCAAATGTGGACAGTCATGATAATTTTCTGTTTGGTCAGGAATCCAATGATCACCACAGCGGAGATGAAGAGCTGAAATTCAAATTTCAAGTTCGTTCTCTTGAAAGAAAGCATTTATCACCATGGTGAGTCGAGGAATGAGCTGGATGCGCTTTTCGACGTCGAAGTGAGCAAGTTTCCAGACTTGGTAGATAAAGAACGCAGCTTGGACAGAGAACACAAAAGCTCTTATCTCGAAACAAACTCACTTTCTTTTCAACCTTCTGTGGATGAGAGAACTTCGTTTTGATAGTCATTATCGGATTCAGCTTAAATCTCGTAACAATCATCTAAAAAATATTAGAAACTGAAAAGTAAAAATGGGTTGTGGATAACCCCATAAAATTGATTTGAGCAATGCAATTATTGGATTTTTTATTGGGTCCATCAAGTAAAAGCATTCAGGTATTAGATTGCTTCAGGATTTAACTGATAGAGAATGGATAAGATCAACAACGGGAAATAACATAACAATGGAAACAACAAAAAATAACAGTGTGTAAAAGATACGGTTGATCAGATCTTGGGGTAGATCAGCTTCTCACTATCTCGGGAGGATTTGTGCATTTTGGAGGTGTATGGGAGGGTTCCCGGATTACCATATGTGATATCGGTGAGCAAACTGCAGCAGAAAGCGATGTAGACTAGGTTGCCTAAAATTGAAACTCTATGAATCAAGTCATAAACATTGCAACTCACAGAAAGACATGAAGAAGATAGAAACGATAGTGTCCACCTTGAGACACATAGCTCCTTCAATATTGATACACATAGCTCCTTCCGTATTGATAAACACAGCTCCTTCTTCAAGCGATTCTATAAAATAATATTTTCTGAACAATATGATACTGGTCCTTACTGAAAAAGGAGAAAGCTGTTGCAAACAGTGTAGTGATCGGCACGGCCAGAAGAGAGGTCAGGAACCCAATGTAGATTGCCATGATAATGTTCTTCTTGGTGAGGAATCCGATGAACACAATGGCGGAGGCAAAGGGCTGAAAATCACATTTCGAGTTCACTTATTTTAAAGAAGGAAAACGTTCGTTACCATGGTGAATCGAGGAATGAGCTGGGTCTTCTTTTCAAACTGGATATGAGGAAGTGTCCAGATTTGGATAAACAAGAAGAATGCTTGAGCAAAGAGCACACCAAGTTTGATCGCAGTCATATCTGTATCCTTTTCAATCTTCTGTGGATGAGAGACCTTCGTTTTGATAGTCATAACCGGCTTCAGCTTAAATCTCGTAGAAATTATCTAAAAGACAGAATTGGTCAGAAGTTGAAAAGATTATCAAACATTTGAGCGAACAAATCAAGAAAATTATTTCTGGGCACAAACTTTTTTGTTAGAATAAAATAAGTATTAAAGTCAGAAAGTTGAGAAAGCTTTGGAGGCGAGTTCTTACAAAAGTTAAACTTTCAGGAGTAGGGAAAACTAATAGATATCAACTAACGAAAAATTGCAGAACTTTGATAAATTTTCAATGAATGTTAAAAAAAAGAATGTAGAATTAAAGCTAAGGAAATTAAAAAAAGTAACAGATTCAATGACAAATAACAAAAGATAGAACTGAAAGTCCTGTACGATGTGTAAACAAAAAGTTTGATCGGAACTTGAGTTAGATCAGCTTCACGGCATACTTGAAAGATCCGAGGCGTTCCGAATACGATCTTCGAGACCTTCACGTTAAGCGCATACAAGGTGCACAAAAGGATCTACTTCTTACTAAGCAAACTTTTCTGTCTGTCTGTGTGTGTGTGTCTGTCTCGGACATTTACTTGAATAACTCAAAGGGGCATGGGACTCCTATAGTGGTGTGTGGTATGTAGTCATGAACTGCCGAGCGCTTTATGTCTATGGTGTCGTGAGCCTCCTAGCTAATAGGGAACCTAAAGGGCTGAGAATCGAAAATTTCAAAATTATGCTAAAACTTACTAAAACTTCATGGTATTCTGAAAAAGTTTTTTGGGCATTTTCATGTGCGTTCTACAAACAATTGAGCTCAAATCTCCAAAAGTAGAGCTTTTTGAAATTCCAGTTTTTTCTCGAATCTCTTCAGTTTCGGTCATATGGCCTACTGCAAATGCGTGTTTTAGAGTAATTTGGTTTACAGGCATTATTTTCAAATACTTCTGAAACTTTCTGATTCCATATTCATGGACATTTTCCTTGGAAAATCGTTTTTTCATCAAAAATCAACATTATATTTTCCAAACAGAATTTTTTTTGAGTTTTCGTTTTCTGAAACCACCGAATTCCGAAATTTCATATCGTCTGAGTTTTGTTTGATTTTCAAATAAATAGAATTTCCGAGAGTTTTCTGAATTTCAAAAAGTCGAAATTCAAAGATTTCGAATTGAACTTTAATAATTTTGATTAGATTTTTAATCTCCGGTCTGGGATTTCTTGAGTTTCAGAATGTTGGAACTTTCAAAAAAATTACCGAGTTTGGACTTTCTCAATTTTTCAACTCCCGAATGTCCTGAAACGGAAAATAGGAATTTCGGAATTCCAAAACTTCAAAATCAGAATTTAGGAAATTGGGAAATTAGCAACCTCAAGCTTGAGAATTTAAAAATTTTGGATTTCAGAAATTCAGAAAAACTCAAAAATTTGTATCCGAAACACTTCTGAATTTCAAAATCAAAGTTTTCGAATTTTCTGAGTTTTTCAAAAAAGAACCTGTGAAACTGAAAAAAAAATTAGAAGTTCTAGGTTTGTAGATTCAGAAACTCATAAACTATAATAAAAAACTCATGAATTTCTATGTTTAAAAATGTAATCCTCCAAGTTTAACTCATTATCAACTTCGGAACGTCTTGAATTCTGTATTTCGAAAACCCGGAAACTCAGAAATTCCAAACTACAGAATTGCAGAGAAGCAGAATTTCAGAAGAAATTCCCAAAACTCTGAATTTCTAAATTTCCTATTTTCCGAGTTCGGACCCTGAAAAATTTTTCCTGAATGGAAGTTTCGAAGCGTCTTCATAAGATTACGGGTACTGTAACCGGAGGCCCGGAGGTTTAGCCCCGAAGGGGCGTAAACCGACTGGTATACACTAGGTCAACTTTAAATTAAAAATTAAGTCATCAAGTTCTAAACAGTCCGACTCACACATAGAGGAGGAAGATAGCAAGAATAGTTTCCATGTTGACACACATAACTCCTTCAATATTGATACACTTAGCTCCTTCATTATTGATCAGCATTGGTCCTCCTTCAAGCGATTCTATAAAAAAAAGAATATTCTGAATAAGATGATACGGTGCCTTACTGAAAAAAGAGAAGACTGTTGCAAACAGTGTGGTGATCGGAATGGCAAGGAGAGGCCATGAACAAAATGTGGATTGTCATGATAACTTTCTGTTCGGTGAGGAATCCGACGAACACAATTATGGAGATGAAGAGCTGAAATTCACATTTCAAGTTCACTTCTTGTGAAGAAAGAACATGCTAGTTACCATGACGAATCGACGAATGAGCTCGATGATCATTTCCGTTTGGGGCTGGTTAGGATCATACTTCTTGCTCATAAGTTCACAGAATTGGAGAATCGAGAACAAAGAAAATACAATAGCGCCAATCCAAGTCATCAGCTTCTGTGGACGAGAGACATTTATCAAGATAGCCATAATTGGCTACAGCTTAAATTTCGTAGCAATTATCTAAAAAAACAGAATTGGTCAGAAATTGAAAGGATCATCACAACCTTTGAACGAAAAAAAAAATCAAAGTGGTTATTGTCGGATTAAAAAAAGTGACACCTGAAAATCTCGGATACGGCTCTCGTGTTGATTTACGAGGAGGCGGATCGAAAACGGATACTGTAGATAACAAATTTATTTATGTGAATTTAGTGGGATTTACTGAACAAAATTTTGATTTCTTGGTATTAAAATGATCGCCAGCAGCTCTAGAATCTATTTTTCCGCAAAAAAACTAAACTTAAACGCGAAAGTAGCTCGAAAGAGCCGAAATTCTGAAATATTACGTTTTTACTTTTTCGTAGATAAAAAAAAGCAAAAATTTTCAAATTCTCAGGTGTCACTTTTTTTAATTCGACAATATTTCTGGACACAAACTTTTTTGTTAGAACAAAATATTAAAGTCAGAAAGTTCAGAATGCTTTGGGGACGAATTCTTACGAAAGTTAAACTTTCAGGAGTAGGGAAAACTAACAGATAACAGCAAACGAAAAAAAAATCAGTACTTTGATGAAGGTTCAAAAAATGTTGAAGAAAGAGAAAGTGGGAATAAAGCCAAGAGATTTAAAACAAGTAACAAATTCAATAACAAATAACAGAATATGGAACTGAAAATCCTGGATATCTTCAGACTTCTGGATATATGAGGTTGACGCGTTCCGAGCCATCGTAAGCGTCGCGATTGTAGTGGAAAAGACCTTGGGTTGTGTCCAATTCTGGGAAGTCGTCCGGCTGCTGATCTTTTGCTTCGACCAGTTTGTGGCAGAGGAAGAGGTAGGCTATATATGCTGAAACAAATTTTAATAGTGAGAAAGTAGTGATTTTGAAGCAAACTCACCGCACAAAAACACGGCAGCAACCGTGAGAGATGTGATAGGATGGGTGTAGATGCCTTCTCCGAAGAATGTGGCCAGAAACTTGATATCGAAAAAGAATTGAGCAATCATGAGCACGAACACGGCCAGCGGAAAGAAGAGGAACAACGAAGCCACCCAAATGTGGGCTTGCATGAGGGATTTGTTTTCCACAACGAACACAGCTACAGTGAAAGCAGTAAGGATTACCTGAAAGAAGCTCTATGATAACAAAAATTTAGAAGGAAAAACTCACTGAAGCAATCACCAGGAGGATGGAAACTTTGCTTGTGACACCACTCGCAGTGAGCCAGACGATCTGCAGAAGCATGTAAAGAATTTGCATGCTGATCACAATAAGCTTGATTGGCAGGACACCGAAGAGCTTAGGGCTGCTCAAGTACTGTTCCGGCTGACTCGGATCATAGAACTTCACCATGTTGAGCGAATCTCTGAAAATCGCTTCGAGGTTTTCTGGAATATATGTGTTATTGAAATAACCAGGTATCAAAGGATTTAAACAAGTGAGATAACATAAATGATTTGAAACGTACAGTAAACTTTATTTGAACAAAATAGTAGTTGGTGTTGGATAAAAAAGTCAGGAAAAATTGAATGCATGATTGTTTTACAAAAAGTTTATTAAATGTCTTCCACAAGCCTATTGAATTGTCTTTGTGCTTGACGACCACGAACTTGATAATCTGTCGCAACTTCAACAAGGAAAATGTGAGTCGTAACCATACGGAAGAACCAAGCTGAAAATTTAGATTACCTTCGGATAACATTGCCCGACAAACAAACCTGCAGCAAACACGGTCATCACCAAGAGAGATTCCTTTTCAAGGAAAACAATCATAAAATGACACTTGTGAGAGTCTAAGAAGATAGTCATCTCTGGCTTCCCTGAACGGAATGTTTTTGCGACAATTGATGAAAGAACAACTCACAAATTTCGTACATCATTGCTATGCAGTAGGTCGAGAAAACCATGAAGAAGACTTTCGCTTGGAACACGAAGTGTAAAAGCATGATCCCTGAGTTTTTGATAACGTATGAAAACGTCATGAGCCACTCAATCACAGCCAGTCGAATGAAAAGCTCTGAATATTCACTGTAGTAGGCGATAGTTGAAAAGATGGATGCAAAGATGACGTTGAGCAGAATATGGAGGGAACTCTGAATTTTTTTCAGAATTAAATACGTAGCAATGTAGGCCGGAGCCTATTTCAAACCTGCTTAATTGGTCCCAAATCTCTGGTTTCTGGGTTATTCAATCGGTCCTTCGTGTTCCAATCGATCAACAAGAAATGAGTGTGAAGAATGCGAACGGTCCACACTGAGAACTTTTGCTATTGAGAGATCTGAAAATATGGCACTAACCTATGCACAATACGGCAAGCCAGAAAATCGAGCAATGATCAATGATTCCTCTGAAGCATTCCCATCCGTTTGCTTTAAGAAAGTCGAGATTTGGTTTTAGGTCATATCTCAATCTAATTTCGTTTAGTCTGTCCTCGTTGTCTTTGTAAATGCAGCATGCAAATAGAAAAGTCGGAACCAAGAAGACCATCGTTTGATAAATGAAGTGAACGGTGATGGTGAATCCGTTTCTACAGGGATGAAGTGCGACGGCACAGAATTCGAAGAATGCCTGAAACCACATCTCTATTTTTAAACTCGCGATAACTTGAAAATACCAGACAAAGGAAGACTTTCTGCATTCCAGAATCGTACGTCGACATAACGAAGAAGAAAAGTGTGGCAATCACTCCGAAGAACATTGTCACTTTGTCCTAAAAATTTTGACTTTAGATTAAACTCAATTTCTCAATTCTAACCTTTGTTTTAAATTCGCCTGATGGCGCATTCGTTCCTCCGGCCATTTCACCTGAAACTCAACAATTTTCTTATACAAAAGAGTATGAATCAGTGAAAAAGCTCAGTTTCACCTGAAAACGAACACTTTTTTCATGTAAAAAGTCTATAAATCGTGATAAATAATCGGCAAAAATTCAGTTTCACCTAAAAAAATTGCAAACTTTTGTCAAAACAGTTTTCTCGATTCGAGACCAGTAAGCTCGCAACTGAAGTCCACCTTTCAACTACTGTAGTTCGTGTTGAGACGCGAGCCTACAAAATTTATTGTGCGCCTTTCAATTGGAGGGTACGGTGGCGTTTAGAATAGATTCTTGAATAAAATCACTGTAAATTGAACCAAAAACTTGGAAAGATTTCGACTTTCAAAAAAAGTTTGAAAGAAAAAACTAAGATTTTTACAATACATAGCGGAGAAGACAAAACCAAACAACTTTCACATCAGCAATGTTTGATTCAGAGTGATTACTGCCGAGAAACCTGCATCTAAATTCAGTTTTGTAATAAAAATATGTAATTCAATGTCCAAACACACAATTCATTTGTTTAGGTGCAACATTCTAGTCCTTCTGCTTGCTCTTTCTTTTAAATTCCGTTTGAATATAATTTCCCTAACTTCTCCCTTACATTTTCCTGATACTTGTACATCTCTTTTTGTGTTTCTCAATTGCCAGTGGCGCCCTCCCCTTCAACAAACTGAGCGACTACAAAAAACTGTGATAACAATACAAGGGAGGGACTGGCAAGGAGGCATTACACTAATCATGCGAACCAACTTTCCTACTATTCAGCCCATTATTATTATGCTTCTTTTTCTTTCCCCCTTATTTCTTCATTCTTTTTAGCTTCCTCACTCTCAAACCAGTCTCACCAAAAAACTACGAAACACTTTTTATTTATTATTTCGTTCTCTTCTGTGTCCACTCCGCCTTTTCATCCGACTAATGACCGTTGCATAAACGATTCCAAATAGTTTCAGTTACAGTTTCCGGTAAATAGGTCTCAAGTGTTTTTTGAGGTTCTTCAGTGTTTATATTTCGTCTTCTTCCCTCTGATAAAAACCACTCGTAAATATCCCCTTGTTTTCTCCCTCCTCCTCCTCTTCATTTTTTTCCTGCCTTTTCACCTCAAATCACCTCTTGTTTGCACTTGTGTCCATTGTCCACTTTCGTTCCCTTTTCTAAGTGATTTCCAAAGAGTTTCAATTGTTTTGTTTCTATTCTTTTTTCGGTTGCCATCCCATCATCAACCTCCAACTCGGTCAAATGATTTCCCTGTTAATCATATTATTTGTTGCTCCGGTTACGGTAAGAGAATGGAACTCTCCTGAATCTCTCGTATCTGATGCTCGTGTTACAGAGTGCAGTAATAGGGGATGATCTATCACCATACAGATGGAATCTAGTACCAAAACCTCTGTTGAAAAGGCTTTGTAATCTAGATGAGTCATTGCCAGTTTGTGCCTGGAAGGTTGGTTATTTGGTTAACCAGTTTTTAGAACTGTAAATAAATAACACCGAAAAAGTAAGATGAAACGAAATACAGTAATCTTGGTTATGCTAGACAATTATAGAAGATCGGTGGCCGAAGATCCCATAACGACAACTACAGTAACCTAAAAAATAGTTTTATTTTTCGGATTAGTTTTGTTCTTTACTGATTTTATTTTTAGTCGATTTCTCTGTTAATTTTCAGCAAAAATTCGGAAAAACTAAAGTATTTGATAGTTTAAAAATTCACTAAACATCGAGAAAATCAATCCGGAAAATACAAATATTTTTAGCTTACTGTATTATGGAACCTTCGTCATTTTTTTTGTATCAAAATAATAAAACCGAGAAAAAATGGAAATACAGTAATCTTGGTGATGCTAGACGATTACGGTAATACAGAATCAGAAGTTCAAGCTTCTGTTGATTGAAATATGTTACAACCCCGATTAATTTTAAAAAGTGATTCCTAATGCATAAAAACTATCAATCAGCCAAAACGAACACTAATTTGAATTACACTCTGATTGTTAAAACAAAGAAATGTCTAGTAAATCGTAAGAAGAATTCTGACAAAACCAATTCCAGCGCCACAATCTATCAAAAAAGACAGTATTCTCGAAATGGCAAATCTGTCGGGATCATCCAGAATTGAATTTGTGCAAATGGCATAATGGAGGAATGGTAACTGTCCCGGTTCCAGCAACGACCACAGAAAGAACAGAGGATTCGGCCGAAGCTCCGCCTCTTTCTGAATCCATCTTTGTTGTGGGTTTTTAGTTTTTGATAGTTTTTAAAAATTCAAAATTTCTGCTAAATTTCAGAATGAACCAGATATGATGCTCTCGTCAAAATGGTCAAATGCAGAAATCCTCCAAGAAACTGTTCAAAAAGAGCTGAGAACAGAACCAAATCGTTTCGAGGGACGACTTCATCGAGAATCAGATTCTGCCGAAATGAAAGATGTGGAAGATCAGAAGTTTGATGAAACGATCATGTCTGCCAACGAAGATGTTTTCTCTGCCTAAATTTTCATGTCCAATCCCCCCTGTGCATTTCCATTTCCCCTTGTTACGGTTATCTGTTTTTATCAAGATGTTTCAAAATATGTGAAAAAGCGTTTATTGTGGTGTGGTCGAAATATGAGTGTATATGCATTGTACAAATCCCGTATTCTGGCAACACACAAAGAGTTATCACTCGATTATTGCACCAATAAAATTAAAGATTTCGGAGAGAAGAGAAGAGAAAACAAGAAAACATAAGTATACGATCATCGGGGCAAACATGATAAAATGATAAACAGAGAGGGACAGAGAGCTCATAAGAAATTTGTTTTCTAGAATATACAGTCAAAGCAATCAAAACAAAAAACATTATGCGAATATTAAGTTCTAAACATGTGTGGAATGCGTTATATTAACAGTTGAATGAGTGTCTAATTGGTCGTCATCCAACCCAGCGAGGCGGAGGAAAGTCTCTTCCAGAGATGATTGAGCTAGTATGAAATCTTTAACTCCGAGATCTTTTGCCAATCTCTGCACCATTTCAAACTTTTCCGACCAACAATCGTCTTTCTCTTTTGGAATCTGAAATTACAAAACCAATAAAATCGAAAAACATTGATTTCCCACTTACCTGCCACTTGAGATTCAATGTTTTGTTTGTTGAGGTTGTTTTGAGAACAGAATTTGGAAGTCTGGCAGCGACAAGCTGTACGATCACATCTCTTTGAGCTGGTTCATACAACGTTAGAGTCATTGTGTAGTTGTTTCCGTACAACGACTTAAGCTCTTGACTGGATCCGATAGCAATCAATGATCCTCGATTTAGAACCGCAATTCTGGAGCACAATGCTTCGCATTCATCCATCGAATGAGATGTTAACATAAGGGCACTGTTGGAATGTTCTCTGCACCACAATAACAATTCCCATACTTCGCGTCTGGCTTTGGGGTCAATTCCAGCAGTTGGTTCATCGAGAATAATCATCTGAGTTGGTGCCAAAAGAGCAACTCCTACGGATATTTTTCTCTTCTGACCACCACTGTAGAATCTGACTAGTTTATCGGCATGCGCTTGCATTCCAACACATTCTAAAATTAGCTCAGCCTTGTCTTTATACTTCTCGAATCCATGCATTTGAGCCAGAATTTCCAAACATTCTCTTCCTGTCAAATCAAGCATCAATGCATCGAATTGTGGACAGTAGCCAATCGCTATATACTCAGTAACATCTCTTCCACCGATAGTTGCTTCTCCACTTGTTGCAAACGATTGCCCAGTCAGTATATTGAATGTAGTCGTTTTTCCCGCACCATTCACTCCAAGAAGCCCAAAGCATTCCTTCTGATCGACGGCGAGGCACAATTCATTGACAGCCGTAAATCTTCCAAATGTCTTTGTCAAATCCTTCACTGCCAAAGCCAAATTCTGTGGGTTAGCATTGTGAACTCTATGCCTCTCTTCCTCCACACTAGTGCAAACCGGAAGATCTCCCTGAAACCAGAACAATTACTATTAAAAATTCAAATATCAAAGTCTGACCATCATTGGCTGCACATTGTTATTTGCAGATCTACGAAGAGTCCAAACTTGAGAAAGGAATCTTCTTACACATTTGAACTGAAGAAATATGAAAAGAGCGAATGAGAAAGCTCCGAAAACAGCCATGAATACAGCATTCTTTCCGCATCGATCCCAACTCATGAGCTCCTCGTCACTTGTGAAGATGAGACCATAGGTATTAATCGTTATTATAGCGTTTCCGAAAGCATAAGATGGAAGAAGGAACAGGAAGATATTCTGAATACAAAATTCAAAATGCTTAACACCAGATTCTGGAATTCTTACCATTAGGAACGCTTTCAACGATTCTTCGATATCGAATAGGAAGAAAATAACAAAAACAGCGAGAAGAGCTGCTCCCGAAATCACAACTTGCCAGATAATCAGCATGACATTAGCTTTGGAAGGTGATTGGAATAGAAAAGAAACTGCGTAGATGAATGGAACTGAAGAGAAGAAGTACAGGAACCAGAACAGTATAACTCTGAAATTGCATATTTAAAATAAATGAAAAGAGCTTTGGCAACTAACATTCTCAAATGAGCGTACATCCAGTTGAAAACTATGAACATTGCTAAGAAAATGATACAGATCAGGGTGTACAGTACTCCATCGTAAAAAAGCGAAGCGGAATAAAATGTGACAGGGGAGATTCCAGTTAGGAACTGTTGATGAGCGAATTGGCAAGTTCGTTCTTCAATCAGGAACATGACAAATGTAGATGTGACCATTGCGAAAATCAGAATGAGCATTGGAGTGAGCAAGACATCAATCAATTGGCTTGGAAGTAACTGAAAAAAGAAATCATTCTGAATTTTAACACATTTTAATTTCTTACAGTGCTTTCCGAGGTCGCTTTCGAATACAGGAAAATTCCTCCATCAATTTGAGCATCAACAGATGAGCTTCCTGTTAAACGAGCACGATTGATGATACTGACAAATGTTGGAAGAACATGGTAGTATCTCATATTGAACAAATTCTCCAGAGAACTGTTGTCCTTCGCAAATGTCGAACCAATCGAAGCAGGTGGCATTTCCTGAGAATCAAATATTAGTTCTTGAAGGGAAACCAGAAGTAACTTACTCCTATAAGACTTTTAGTAATATTTGACAATGGTGTATTTCTGCTGTATTTTATGACATCGAAACCTCCAGATTTCTTCAATAGAGACTCCAGATGTGATGCTTCTTCTGGAACCGTATCATCAAATCTCCATACCACTTTTGATGGTTCAATTCCATACGACGATAGTTCGCGATCTGAGAATTGAGAAGTCAGTTTTCGTTCACTTCTCTGTAAACTCACATTGATCAGTGTTCCCAGATTTCAGAGTTGATAGGGACGCCACCAAGCCGAGAAGAACGATTGGAATCAAAACTTGTCCAAAAAGCTGTGTCCAGTTTCTGATTGAATACAGCCATTTTTTGCGGAGAATCGCAACGAATTGAGCTGTGACTTTTGTGAATCCAGTTTTCTCCGCACCTCTCGCCTGACTATCCATTAGTCTCTGATAACTGTCCGCACTTTTGGTACTTGATTGTGTGTCGTAACCTGGTGGTTTCAACGATGGCTCACTGGTGTTCCGGGATTGATGACTGATTCTACTATTTTGTCGACTGGCAATTGCTTTGTCTACTTTGTCACCAATTGTGATGAAGACCTGCTCCAGAGTGTTCAATGACAATCCAAAGCTTTTCATGACCAGAGTGGCTAGCTGAGATTTGAGTTGATTAGGAATCGATTCCAATGCATAACTGCGGAAGCTGGAAATTTCAGAATTTAGATTTATATGAAACTTTTCTTGAACTTACTTCCTTTCCTGGATGGCTTCCAATGCCTGAAACAGTGGAACGAACGAGTTCTTCTGGGCTTCTGGTAATATAATCTCAATTTGTTGTCCATGCATTTCTCCTCGTTCAGCTCCTTCGACAAAGTGAGAACACACACTTGTTAGGACTTCAGCCATTTTCCTCTTTTCACCAGTATGATCCAACACGACTGTCAAAAGGTATCCGGTTCCAAACTTCTGCTTCAAATATTGATTTGTTCCAGATGCTACGAGTTTTCCATGGGACATAATGAATACCCAATCTCCTAGACGTTCGGCTTCATCCATATAGTGAGTGGTCAATAGGATGGTTCTGTTTGCTTTCTCTCTTTCAACCAACTTTTGAACATCTTGTCTAGCTCCTGGATCCATTCCAGCTGTTGGTTCATCGAGAAGAACAACTTCAGAATCACCAATCATAGCCATACAAACACAAAGTTTTCTCTTCATTCCTCCGGATAAGTTCATAGCTCTCTCATTCTCTTTGAAATCTAGCTTCACATCAACAAGAAGACGTTTCATCTCCTGTTTGAAATCCGCTTTCCTAGCTCCTTTCAATCCATGAACCAGTTGGAGATGCTCCGAGACAGTCAATTTATCATACAATGGATTGTATTGTGGGCACATTCCAATGTGTCTCCTAGTCTCATTCGCTTCTCTTCCTACGTCATGACCGCATATAGAAATATGTCCATATGTTGGTTGAATGATTCCAGCAATACTCGAAAACGTTGTACTTTTACCAGCTCCATTGTGTCCCAAAAGAATGGAACATTGTCCTCGGACAGCTCTCAAAGTCAACCCATCCACAGCTCGCTCTCCAGTAGTTGGCCAAATTTTCACCAGTCGATGTACACTAATATCAGCTCTAGCTGTGTCTCTGGCACCGTCGACTTCAGTAGAACCTTCTAGAAGAGCATCAGAATCTGCGTTCGGCGGGTTCAGCGAAGACGTTCCCATGGTGTTCATCTGAATCTTTATAGAATTGTTTTACGAGTTGAAAAAATACAAAATACGGAAGCTCTGTTAATCATGCAAGCACACAGTTAGTGCTAACCTCCATATCTCTCCGTTGGACTCTATTTCTCACCTGTTCGTTGATTCTTGTATTGTAGGCAGTCTGCCCGTCAGTTTGAGTTTCGTATTCATCCTAAAACTGTGAAACTTGAACTTGTGAATCCTTTAAATGAACTCACCAATACATCTCCACGGGTGAACAATGTTCTCAAACTGAAATCAGATGAAGTTCTGATATGATCAACAATCAATGCTCCAACGGACATCCACAATATATCAACGATCATCATAACGAGTGCCCATCCAAGGGAAAAGTGTAAAGATGAATCATTGAACATATTAAACAGATTGAGTTCTCTTTCTCTTCGCATATAATCTGATATCGCTTCAACAGCCAATGCAAATGCTCCATTGATATTGAGACCGTAAAGGAAACAAGTTGGAATTTGATCCAGTGTAGGCCGGAACTTATAAGAGATTGCTATCATTGCACCCCATGCTACCAGAATAGCTTTTATCGCAGAATTTGTGTTGCTGAAGAACGACGCCACAAATGCTCCGAATATAACTGCACCAAGTCCGTACATCAGAACAGTGACAATGAGTGCTGCTGGAGTAACAAATTCCATCACGAATGCCAATGGAATAATCGAGAACAGGAAAATGATGAAGAACTTGATGAAAGCCATGACGACATGTGCCGCATAGAACATGAATGTTGAAAGTCCCATTGCAGTCAAGTATGGCTTGACAGCAAAGTTTTCAGCAGCGATTTCTCTTGTGATGTGAATCACGTTGATGAATGTGACGAATGCCCAAATAAACGGGAAGAATTCAATGAATGACGAGACGGAACTAGTTTTGTAAGCAGGCTCTGGGAGGCCTCGGAAAATCAATGGAAGATCTGATGATTCTGGTTGAGCCGATAGAATGAATGATGTCTCGATGGCATGTTGAAGAGTAAGATATCCAGAGGTCCAATACGGTGGACTGGTTGGTATTCTGCCACTTCGTCCAGATTGAGGTCCATACGGATTGAAACTCGTTTCAGTCAAATGCCAAACTTCTTCTATTGCTTTGGTAATCAAGATTCGGTATTTTAGTTTCTTCTGTGACAAGTCAATACTGTCGAAGATAACTCCGCCAATGTATCTGAAAACCAGACAAATATTATTGTGAAATTCCTATAATCAGTCTTACGAATTGATAGCACAAAAAGAAGAAGTATCATTCTGATTCGGTAGGTCATTTCGGAGAATTGTCATCAGTTGGTCCTCGGTTTCTTCACTTTTCACCCTCATTTTCAGTTTCCCATTTTGGAATCGGTCCGACACTTGGTTCATCAAATTGTTTACAACAGTCATATCAGATGGATTTTTTGTTCTGTAAAATTGTAAAGTAATTCAGATTCAATCGAGGCCTACTTACGTGTATCCCAAAACAATATCCGTTCGAAGACACCATCGTCTGTAGATGGGCTTAATGAAGCTGTATTCGAGAAAGACATCTTCAACTGTTCCTGTCAATTTGAATTCATCGTATGTGTTCGATGGAGATGATGACGAAGCAGCGCCCTAGAAGTTTATTTGTTTTTCTTCAAATTTTCAGTTCTGTACGTTTAGTGACGTATACAATAATCTCCAGTTGATAAGACAACTTAACAAATTTACCTTTACAACTAAATAAACTAGTGGACCGAGCAGCAAGCATGGAAGAATCAATTCGAATAAAGTCCACACTTTGTTTCTTCTAAGCAACACCCAATCTTTCCACAGGAGCAACGAAAATTGACGTAGTCTATTCATTTTCCTTCTGTTTCGCCTCGCGGACTCTTGTGAATCGTAGTTCTCGTTGAATTCTCCAAATGGTACGGTCTCTGAAATAAAAGATTAGGTAAATTATCAGATGATAAATTTGTGTCTTCATGGTAAAGACTTCATATTTTTTCAAATATTCACCTGCAACTTCGGCGTTAACTTCGAACAAATGGATAGTATCCAAAGTGAGAATCGGAACTTGATTGGGCATTTATTCAAAATTTCAGTTTTATTCAGATAGAATAAAAAATAACGGGCGAATCTAACAAGCGAAGTCAAACATTTTGACTCAAAAACAAAATTGTGTGCTCAATGGCAGGTTAGAACTTTATTTCGTCGCAAAACATTGATTAGATTTTCTGTTGCCAAGGGTACCAACAGGTGGTTTCTCTTCACAACTAAACATTAGTTTGGGACTTTTTTCTAATAATAACTTCTGATCTTCGGTTGCTAACTTACCATCTTCTATTGCCGATGATTCATCATCTGAGTCTTTCTCTTTCCGTTCTTTCGGCCCCCACCGTAGATAGCGTCGGAGCCAATGCACTAGAGGCGAGCCCGGCATGAATACTGAGGGAGGAGTCAACATTCAACCGTGTTTTATATTATTTTTTAGTTCAACACCGAGCCAATAAAGCGGCGGAGGTGGGAAGCTATGTGGCTAGCAGGGCCACGTTCCAATTTTTATTTGTGTTTCGTTCCATATTCAAATGCAGATTTGAAAGAAAATACTTACATCTTTAGGCTTTCACAGCTGACTCGAGACGCGAAGCATACTTCCTTCGATTTTTATTGATGTTGACAACGTATCTGAAAACATAAGTAATTGAATAGAAAAGTATAACTTATCTAATGCGAAACGAGGGAGCGACTGATTATGAGTACAACAGTCAGAACTGATTAACAGTTGCAGCGGACAATAATGGAAAAAATTTCAAACTGGAAACTATCAAAGCTATTCTGTTCGTAACTCAATTTTCAGAAATTCCTATGTACAGAATTGCGAAATATGTTCAGACAACACCAGCTATGACAAACGGCACCGAATTGACAATGACTGGTCGTCATCGGAGAGGGCAAAAATCGATACTGTTGCGAATAAAAGAGAGTCTCTTTCCGAGCGAAAAGGATATAATTGCAAATCGGGGGGTAACCGATCAAAAGCGGCAAAATGACATAATTCTACTTTTTTTACTTTTTTGTAGACGTTTTCTCGACGTTCGTACTTCGGGAAAGCAAACAAATATTCGAGGAAGAGGTGTAAGAGAGTAAACAAGGAAAAGTATTAAAAATATTACATGACATAAATATTTACATTCAAAAATACTGCCATAATATGGAAAAGTCTCGATTTTTGCATTTTCGGCTTGTTTTTGTAAAATTGGGCACAATGGTAGAGCGCGCTTGCCCCATCACGGGACTTGAGCTGAGACCCCACAAATTCCGGAGAAAAAATTTTCCGGTGAAAAAAAAACTCCGGAGAAAAGTGGGCGGAGTCGGGGGCGGAGGCTATATTGCCA